TTGATGAAGGAGGAAGTTGGCCTCTGGAAGACTTCAACAGTAAAATTGTAGGTGGCAAGGAAGGAAAAAAATCACAGCTAGCTGGAAATCCACACCTGAATCTGAAAGATGGCATCGGTTCAGTAGATACCATTTCTGTCAAGCATACTAGCGCCTGGTGGAGACGTGGTGAATTCAGGCTTGGGGCAAGAGTAGTGGGTCATTCTAGTGGGATCAGAATAAGAGAGGCAAAGACAGAACCCTTCATTGTTAAGGATCGCCGTGGAAGTAACTATTCTATTTCCTTGCTGTGTGAATGCCAATAGCTGAGATTTTTTCAGTTGCATCTGTTTTTTCAACTGCATCTTGTGGCCAAAAAAAAAAAAAAAACAGAGTATAGTGTAATTCCAGAAAAGGTAACATATATATTCTGAAGCAAATAGAAATTTGTGTTGACAACATGAAGTTACTATGGCTGGCAACACCTGAGTAGGTGTTATCTGATTTCTACATGTAACTCCATGTTAAACATGCCATGAGGTGATTAATGATGTCTTAGGCTATACCATCATGCTTGGTGAGTTCTGAGTTTTTGACTTTTAGTGCTGCATACTGCACGGACATAGTAATTGTAACTGAGAATACATGTTATTTGATTTCATGTTTCTAAGCAGTTTTCTTGCCATTTAAACTCCTAAAAGGTGTAGATACGTTTTCTTTAAGGTTATGGAATTACTTCTTGTTTTGATACAGTACTGTGGAGAAGATTTTGATACCTCGCCAATAGGTTCTCATCCTGTTCTTTAAAAAGTAGTTTGTTATGTTTTTCTTTTGCTTATATATGAATTTTCCTCATATNTTCTTGCCATTTAAACTCCTAAAAGGTGTAGATACGTTTTCTTTAAGGTTATGGAGTTACTTCTTGTTTTGATACAGTACTGTGGAGAAGATTTTGATACCTCGCCAATAGGTTCTCATCCTGTTCTTTTAAAAAGTAGTTTGTTATGTTTTTCTTTTGCTTATATATGAATTTTCCTCATATTTTCAGTTATTTTGTAGATTGTTGAAGCTCTTTCGTTAAATCTATGTTTCTAATGCCTTTTTTTTCTGTGTTCTTTTCTGGTCTTTTTTTTTTTTTTTTTTTGGGGGGGGGGGGGGG